CTGATTTCAGCATCTAGTTTTTCAAGCCAGTCATTTTCAACTATTGCATCATAGGAGTCAGATTCAGTGACGATAGCGTTGAAAGGAATTATTTTTCCCATTATTCTAAGAGAAACATTATCAACCATTCCAATTGGTCTTTGTCTCTCACCATTTACATTTATCATTATGATTTTTGAAGGTCGGTCAATTTCCATATCTAATTCTTTTAAGAGTCTTAAAGAAATAATACAACTAGAAGATTCTGAATTAACAATCAATTGTATCTTCTTATTCTTTATATATGCTTGATAATAAAGAGCTGTTGATTTTCTTTCTAGGGTACTATTTTGATATCCTTTTGTTTGGGCGAGCATATCTTCTTCTTTAATAGGATCATATGTATTAGAAGCTTCTCCTTCATTTTCATTAACATCCATAGGTGTTATAGGTGTTTCATTTGTTTCTCCTTGTACAGGTTCCTTTCCTTTATTAACTTTGTAATCCACTGGTTTTTTTAATTATTTAATTACGTTCTGTGTGAAATTAGGGTTCATGGCAAGCAGTTGACCATTAGTTATGTTTGCCTTTTGGTTAAAGAACTGTTGTGATGTGTAAGGGTTGACCATATGTACAACTGGAGGTTGGGCTGGTGGTTTTCTTTTTACTTTAGGCTTTTGCTGAGTTCTTTTGCTTACAGTATTTAATTGTCATTATTCCCTTTCTCTGATTTCCTCTTCTACTAATTGTCCTGCAGTTCGTCTCCTCTTATTATTTATATAGGTTTCTGTAAGTGACAATTTAAAAGGGGTTTCATTTGGTTTCGTACCTTTACCCTCAGGAGGTACACCATTTAGTTTAAATGCTGAGTTTGATCACCTTCAGCAGTTTGACCAAGCAGTTGTGCCAATAACTGTAAAGCTTGAACATTATTATTTGCATTCAAATTGTTCAATGTATTATTAATAGGATTAACTGGATTAGCAACTAGAGCTACGACATTATTTTGTACTGGATTTGTTAGAGGTACATTATTGAAGACGTTATTATTGTTATTATTATTAAGGATTCTTAAAAGACAATTCCTTCTGATATGACCTGATTGGTTACAGTCGAAACAAACTATACCGGTTCCTCTTTGGTTATTCTGTCTCCAAGGTTGGTTTGCTTGATTTACATTTGGAGGTTTGAACTGCTGAAATGGTCGATTATTATTTTGTTGATATTCTGAATTATTTCTTTGTCCTTCTAAATTCATCTGTTGGATTTGTTGTGTAAGACTTGCTATAGCATTATTTAGGACGCCCATTTGTGCATTAGTATTTGATGCTATTGAAGTGTACTTGTTCATGTAAGCTTCTACTGAGGCTATGTCCTTATAAGCAAGTTCATATTGCTTAGCACGATTGAGAGCAGCGTTCCATGTCTGATCATTGAAAAGTTTTACAAGCAGATGCAATTCAAGAACTAATCCATTTACAAGACGTCTAGCTTTCATCATATTAGGATATTGGAATGCTGGAGTCTCTACTCTTCTGTATAATTCAAGTAAGTCACAAGCGTAGTCATTAACATTCTCTCCAGGTTACTGATGTCATTTTCCAATTCAATTGTCCAGATTTCAATTAGCGTTTGTGACCTGAAAGCATTAGGAAAATTGGTTGTAAAGTCAGTGTTGTTATTGTTTCCAGTTCACGCTATAATTCTGTTAGGGTCTCCATTAGCAAGAGCCTGATTGGTGGTCCACCAAGTGGATGCTGCATTTTTGAGATATGCTGATACAACTTCAAGTTTTCTGCCATTATTGATACCATTTGCATTGCATGCTCGAGTGAACCCTTCAAGCCATCCTACAGGATCTTGGTTTCCACCATAAAAGTATGGTAAGTCAACTACCCTTGTTTCTCTACGTGGTGGATTTGCTGTAATTGCATTTATATTAGCCTGCAACTGTGCATTTAAATTAGTTAATCCATTGTTAGCGTTTGCTGGTCCTGCAGGTTGCAAAATTCCTTGTAAGGCTTGTAATGCTGTTGTGAGATTTTGGATGTCCGCTTGATTAGCTGCCATGTTTATATTATTGATATTTATATTAAATAGTTGGTCTAAATTATAATCTTCACTGTCAGACGAATCAGGTGTATTTGATCGGGTTAAAGTAAGTGGTGTTGAATTATGTGAAGTAGAGTATTGCGCAGTATTTGTTTCACTTATTTGATAAAGCTCTTCAAAGGGATCTAATTGAAATCCATTGGTTATTACTAAGGCGTTGTAAATATTCTGTCGAAATGTAGCGTATAATCCTAGATTACCGTTATATCTAATACTTAAAACTAAGAGCTCAATTCGTCCTAAGATAGCTTCAGGTAATGTACAGGAAATAAGACGATTTAATTGATGTTTTGTATTGGAAGTATAACTAATAATGGGATATTCAGATGAAAGCCAATCCTAAAAATTTATGAATCTATGTGTGTCAGGGATGATATTTTCAGGATAACAAATAGGGCAAGAAGGATCAATTGAAATCTGAGTTATGTTATTAATTCGCCAAGTGTGTAATTGCGTATGCAAGCGTTGTTTATTAATTAAAAGTTCAAAATTAACCATCAAAAGTTTCTGGCAGAAGGCACCATGTGTTACGCCAGTTCTTTAAAACGCTCAACTTAAATAAGCGTTATGTTTACGTGAGCAGAAGGTTTCCTTCGTAGAGAAGATAGAGAACTTAATTATAATTTATAAGGGTAAGAAAAATATAGTAATTCGCGTAGAACAAATGATTAACAAACAAAAATTATAGTACTGCCTCTGTCGGCGCGTCTGTACTAAACAGTTTATTTATTAAAGACTTTAAAACTACTAAAACT